ACTTCTTTTGATCACAAAATTAATTCTTAATTAATTCTTGATCAATGTTAATTAAACAAATATGATTTCTCTCTTAATATATTATTCTTATAATATATTAATAAACCATAATAACCTCTTTCTCTATTATTTCTCCAGTCAAGTTGCTTTGGTGAAGGCAACCCAAAAGGACCATGCACAACCGAGTCAAGTACTTACCAAATATGGTTACGGGCTTAGACACTAATCCGACAGTATGTTGGGGAGAGGTTGGTCATAGGGTCATGGGAAGGACCGAAGTAGTCCTTCAGACCATGAAGCTTATTCAGCAAATCAGGCAGAGACTACGGACCACTCAGAGTTGGCAAAAAAGAGCCATGCCGACAGACACTGATCAGAGTTGGAATTTCAGGTCGACAAAATGGTGCTCCTGAAGGTCTCGCCTTGGAAGGGTGTGATACGCTTCAATAAGATGGGAAAATTAGGCCCTCGGTATATTGGACCCTTTCTTGTGATCGCCAGGGTAGGCATGGTGGCTTACCGGTTTGATTTGCCTAGCGAGCTCAGTCAGATCCACAACACTTTCCATGTCTCTCAGTTGCGGAAGTGTGTGTTGGACAACGAGACAATGATTCCTTTGGATGATATTTAGGTCGATGAGTGCCTGAATTACATTGAGAGACCGGTGGCTATTTTAGAAAGAAAAATGAAGGTCCTACGCAACATGGAGATACCTTTGGTAAAGGTTCAGTGTCAGCATCGGAGATGCTCCGAGTGGACCTGGGAGCCGGAGGCTGAGATGAGGGAGCATTACCCCAAGTTATTCGTTACAGCAGACTTCGAGGATGAATTCTAAGTCAAGTGGGGGAGAATTGTAACATCTTGTTTTGAGGTACTTCCATTGTTGACCCTTATATTAAGATTTATTGCATTTTGGTCCCTAAGTTAAAAAAAAGAGTGTAAAAGGGCCCATAATGGCATTTTGGTAATTTCAGGATTTCGAGAGTACGCTTAGCGTACGTGTGTATGCTAAACGTACTAGGCTGCACCTTAGTACGTTGGGCGTACACGTCGTACGCTGTCCCATAGTGGCATTTTGGCCCTATATAATCATCATTATAACCTCATGTCCCCTTCCTTCTTCAGCCACCCTTTGTGAGAATGACCCCCAAGCAACCCTAAGTGAAAGAGTGCCTTTTTGGAGCCATTGGATTGTTTTAGAGGATTTCTTTTAGATGAAGAGTGAAGTGTGAAGATCTTGGAGTTGGGAAGCACCTTGGATCTGTGATTTCTACCTTGAGTGCAACCTCCAGGAGGTATAAACCTTGCAACTTTACCACTCCATCTTGTAGATCTAGGTTTTTTCTCTTTTAAAGTCACTTGTTGGTCCCAAAATGGTGATTCTTGAGCATGGCCTCTTCTTGACCCATTAAGCCATCCTTTCAGACCTTAGGAAGGGTCTTGAGTCATTTGAATGGGTCTTAATGGTTGGTTTTGCTCCATGCATTCTTTATAGTGTCTTAATGTATTAAGATGTTGAGTTACACACTTAATGGACATGAAAAGTCATAAAGTTGGAAACTTTATGACTCTTGAGGTTGATTTAGCATTCGATCTGGAAGTTGGACGTAAGAGCTTAAGGCATTAAGTTCTTAATGAGCTTTTGGGAAGACTGGGCGTACGCCCTGCATAATCTGAGTACCGAGCGCGTACGTGGTCAACCTCCCCGATGGTGGCCAATGCTCGAGTACGCCCCGCATACCTTTGAAGTACGCCCCACATACGCATTCTGTGTCGACTCGGTTGAGTTGACTCGGTTGACTTTGACCAGTTTGACTTTGACTTTGACTTTGACCAAGGGGTATTTTGGGTATTTTGAATGGTGTTTGAGAATTGGTCATTTGGATGAATAGGTGTCGGCGAGAGCTGAGATTCGGAGTCAAGACCTCATCAGCTATTGTTCAAACTGTGATGTGAGTTTTCCTCACTGTACTTACGGGTCGAAGGCACCAAGGCTGACCCATTAGATTGATATCCAACTATAAATTGATATGTTGAGTATGAGATAGATCTGCATGATTATATGCTAGTTGCTGATATGCTTAGATTGGTAGATCTGTATGACAACCTGTCATTATGCCTACATGATTATCTATATATTGCTTATGTTTGTTATCTGTTAAATGTCGACATATTGTGTTGGGTTGACGTTGTATTGCTTTGTGCTATAGCCAACGAACCCGGGGGCATTCCAAATATCAGTTGAGGGTCGGTTGGCATGCCAGACTTATACTGAGGGCTCAGGAGCATTGTAGATACAAGCTGAGGACCGGTTGGCATGTCAGACTCGTACTGAGGGCCTAAGGGTATTCCAGTCCGATGACAAAGTGGACCCGTTGTATATTGGCATTCCTACCTGGGGTATTCCATCTTAAGGATTATTGGACCCGGAGGTTGACTGGGCCTAGGGTATTCCACCATGATGGTTGATTGGACCCGACATGATGTTATATATATGTTATATGTTTGGGTGTTGGTACTTTGGGGGAACTCCCTAAGCTTTGGCTTACGATTTTTAGTTGTTGTTTCAGGTACTTCTGATGACCGCGGAAAGGCAAAAGTGTGACCGTACATATCCTCTATTTATGGCTTTATGATTTTTGGATACTCTGATATGGATAAATAGTTTGGAAACAATGATTTTGTAAACATTTTATGACTATGGGTTGTTTTTAAAAGTTTAAATTGGTTGAGATTTTTGGGATGTTACAGTTTTTATACTGTTAATTAATTTAAGATATTATATATGAATCCTATTTCTTTTGTTAAAATAAACGTGAGGGAAATTTTTATTATTCCATACAATATATATACTTAAAAGGTATTAACAAGCAGTAGACTTTATTTAAGATTATTCTTTTAACAAATAGTTATTATTTCGATAGTTGTTATGACAATATGATACTTGTTAATCCTAATCTTTACGATTATTCTTTTAAAAAGTAACAATAAAAACTTTTAAACATGAATAATAAAAGTAAAACACATAAACCAATAATGTAAATGAAAAACACATAAAAAACAACATTAAATAATTATATTTGATGTTTGATAGCTATCTGAGGTTCTATTTTAATTTGTTTATTCGAGCAAAACATTAAAAGAAAAAACGTTATATAACATGAACGGACAAAACGTAAAAAAAAATATTAAAAGATTTTTAAACCATAAAAACAAAGATAAATAAATAAAGCTAAGAATAAATGACTATTATATATATATATATATATATATATATATATATATATATATATATATGATAATTAATTTAAAAATTAAAAATAATTTTATAAGAAATCTATATTAATTCTATTAAAATAAAGAACAAAAAAATTTGTTATATAATAATAATAATAATAATAATAAATTGTTAAAAAAATGAAAAAAAAAATGAAGGGTAAGTTCGTTTTTTCATATGAAGCAATGACCTACAATACAATATTTATAACCCATAGGGATACAACCTATCAGTTTTCAAACTTAAGGACCAAAACTATGACTGTGACCAAAACACACAGACAATTTCTATAATTTACTCTTATATATAATAAAAAACAACTAGTCTAGGAATAATATATTTTGGGTTTTAGACTTTGGCACTAATAGTTTTATATGTTGGTAGGTTTGGTCTATGTATAGAAAATAAATTATAAAAATTGTGCTGTAATTTATAAAAAATGTCCATGTGATTTTTTATGTTTGAGTTTTAGACTTTGACAACAATATTTTCATATGTTGACAGGTTTGGTCCCTATATAAAAAATACATTACAAAAACTCTCCCTGTAATTTACAAAAAAAGGTCCTTACATGTTTTTTTTACAGAAGTAGTACATATATTTAAATACTATATATTCTTTGCTCCATGTGTTTAAAAAATTAGAAACACAATTGCTGCTTAATAGAAAATCTATAAATTATATCTAATACAAAACGAACATAAATAGACTCCCGGTATTGGTCTCCTAAAACGGAGAGGGGCATTTTCTAATTACATATAAATTTTATGATTTTATTTTATTTATTTACTATTTTGAACGGCGAACAATATGTTACCACGGAAAGAAAAGAGGAGCTCGAATTTACAAAAATAATCGAATTTGGTGATCACCTTTAAGTTAAAAAGTTTGGATTTTCTTCGTTTAATTAATATACTAATGTGTCTGCTGTCTAGATTCAATTAATATTATAATTGCTAATGCAAGTTATGTTTTTGTCAAACTTGTCATACACTTATCCATCCTTTTTGAAATCTCATTATTAGTTACATAGCTTTTGGTTGATGTTTAGAACTCATTGAAGAATTTAATAACGAAGAGCTAATCAAATACTTAAAAAAAATATCATTTTTAATATACATTCGTTAGGAAAAATGTTATTCTTGGAAAGTCCATGTATTTTGATAAGAGAAATTAAATATTATTATAGTTTTTGTTCCTACAAATCTTTCTACCAATTAAATAGTGACAAATGGAACATTTAATGCTCATTTAATGATATTTTAATATATTAATGTAATACATGTCATCTTTTAATTGGGTACGACGATTTGTAGAAACAAAAATAAAAGAATATTTAATTTCTGTTTTGATAATGTTTTTAAAAATTATCCTTTTTTTTTCGAAAAAAAAAACTTATTAATAATCTCACTTTATTTTAGCCCATAAAATGTTCATTCAGTTGGTGGCTTTTTGTGAGAAACCGTCGGCAAGGTATTCTGAGAGACTACCGGCAATGTATTTTGTGCAGGCAAGTTAATTTGAGGGATGTTATTTTAAGTCCGGTCTCATCTAAACAAATTATAATTTGATTGTATCTGTCTTTACGATTCAGTATTTAAGAGGCACGTTATTTTAAATATATATATATATATATATATATATATATATTTACTACATTATTAAACATATTAAACATATTGCTTCTTTCTTGAAAATTAAAAGGTATAAATCTTATAACACCATGTACAATCCTATTAAGCTTAAAATGAAAGCGTGTACGCACGCGTATCATTGTAACTTACGGTCTTGACTTCTTCTATGTATAATGTTGGAAAACCCTAATATCTTCCATCAGCCGTCTGTCTCTCCCAGATCTCTTCCATCTCCCTCCTTACTCTCTTTAATCTTTGGCAGCCTCCGTTACCACCATTAATGACACCATCGCACAACATTAACTGGAAATCGTAACCCTAAAGTGGCTTCATCATCGCCACCAGACATCTCACACTATAAACCGGATCGAGGTGGGTTATTCAAGAGTTTCATTATGTTTTTACCTTATTTTTGTTTTCCCTTGATGGATTTGTTGAATGTTTCACATAGGATTTTGTTCAGATTATTTATACGCTTTTGGACAATCAGTTAGTCAATCCCGATTCCGTGAATCATTATAACCAGGTGTGTTTGGGTAGTCTGTTAGAATTTTACTCAATTTTTTATGTCAATTTCATGAATCAGATGCGATGTATATATGGTTCATGATCATATGGAAACTGGATGATTTTCTTAATTATCACATTCTTCTTTTTCAACGGATTTTGTGTAATTTGGTTGATGGTGGCAGCGAAACATCCATCTATGTCAAAATTGAAAGGAGAGGTGTGTAATGTGTATCTCTTGTTCTAATTCTCTCAATATTTATTATTTTTTTAAAATCTACATCCACATCAAATGTTGCAGGTAAGAGTCCAAGATTGAAAGGTGAAAAAAAGGGGCTCTTTGCTACAAGATCACCACATCCATACCTAATTGGTCCTACAGTAGCAAAAGTAAGTTACATTGTGTAATTTGTGTATAATAATCATTACAAGATATTAAAAACATTGATTTTGGTTCAAAAGTTTTTATTTATTTATGTTTTTCAGGTAAAATATATCACCACATTGTGTCAATTACATTATGCATATGTACAAAACCCCTAAACTAAAGTAGGAATAAAACCTATTTTTAACGGTTTTTATGAAGTGGCTACATAAATTTATGATTTTTTTTTTGCACGGACACAACTTTGGTGGCATAATTGGGTTGAGGCTCAAGTTGAAAGACATGTGAGGTAACTGGTGGTTTCTTGTTGTTGATTTTTTTAATAATCATTAATATAACAAAAAATAACATGAATATTGTTTGAGCAGGATGCCTTGACTTGATTTTGTGGTGGTATGTGCAAAAAGCATGATGGAGGTAACCATTATAAATTATAATATGAAAAATCTCATAAGGCTTGGATTTATTTATTAAAATGTTGTAATATGGTTATTTGTCAATTGCAGCCTTCGAGTCGCCCTCCTCCATAACCACCACATACAAGGTAATAAAAATTAAGCAAAATGGTGTGCTTTTTCATCTTTGGGACCCAAGGAAACCTCAACCAAATCAGTTACGGTATAAGGTTTTATATATAATTCTCTATCTTATTCTCATCTATTATGTTTTTTATTGATTTTTTGTTCAGGATGTTCAAAAATCGACACATCCACATACACACATCGACAACATTCAACACCAACGTTTGCTCTCTCTCTCTCTCTCTCTCTCTCTCTCTCTCTCTCCTTATTGATCATGAAACCTGAAACATTTTTGTTGATTTGGTGACTGACATCCTCTTATTTCATTTCATTTGGATTCTGTTTTGATTTCCTAAATTTATGATAGATGAGAAATCAGTGATTCCTAGGACTTGACAGGTAAAAATAACATTTTATTTACAAATGTATATGATTCTTGACTATTTACATAATTTCTTTTGAATTGTACTGAAAGATTTGCCTTGAGATTGATCTAAGTCAGCCTTGGCCATGCTCCGGTTACGGTCTTACCTCTCATGATCACTTTTGCTGCTTTTGCACAAGTAGTTGCTTATTTCTTCAGGACTTGCATTTGCAGGTTATTACTGGATTACAATAGGCCTTGACCATCCACAACCACCCCTGTTACCCTCTCTACTCGAAAAAGGTAATACACAAGTACTTATTTCCTTATCTTTAGTATTTTTTTCTTCTATATCTTATTTATAACCGAATACCTGGTTGTGCTAAATTTACCCTTTTATTTTAGTATCTTTGAATGTTACATACTAATGGATTTTTTGTTTTTTAATTAGCTTTGACAGGGTTGTGAACAGTTGAAATCAGATGCGATAGGTAATCCTGGTCAGGCTGTTTCAGTTATGGCCATTGATTTGTTTCCTTTTTAGCTGTTTTCTAGATTCGAGAATCTTAAATTTGGTATTTTCTCCCCAGGTTAATATAAAAAGATATGTTATTGTTTTTTTTATAGGTTTACATAACATGCACTCCCAAGTGTTTGACGAAATCATAGAAACTATGACCCAAGTTTGCTATACTCATCTCTCGACCTGGTATAGTTTGTCTTTCCCATTTTCTATTGGTTTTCCAAACTATTTTGGTTGTTTTTAATTTATTTTAGTAGTTCTAAATTTTGGAACTTTAGTCAAGGGAATGCCAGTTTACTTGGTTGGGGATTTCACAGTGAACCGGGTGGAAACAAAGATTTGTAAAGATTAACCTTTTGTATTTATTTCATTTCACCAGATTTGGAAACAAGATCTACAAAAAAACTAACTTTTATTTGTGTTCTTTTTCAATTTAACCAGATTTGGATTCAGAGATTTATAAAAAGAACTTACCTATTGTATTTTTTTTTTTTACATTTTAGGGATGAAAACAATATGCACCTTTAATTTTTTTTATTATTTGGTTTGTATGAGCTTGATCAATTAAACATAAACTTATTTCTTGATGAACTAAAACTTATTTCTTGATGTTACTTGTAGAATCTTGATCAGGATAGGAAAAGAAAGAAATGATAAAAGGCTATATATGAAGGGTGAGTATTTTTGTTTTATGCGTTGAATATTTTGAAATATTAAACACCAATGTGTTATTTTGTGTATCTACATCATATTGTAGAATATTTAAATAGAATTTTGATGGAATTTTGTAGGGGAATGAGGAGTTAGGGCCAATACAAGTGAGGGGAATGAGGAGTTAGGGCCAATACAAGTGAGGTGAATGAGGAGGCTATAATTTCATATTTCTAGGTATATATTCATTTAATGACAGTTCACTAAAGACGAGTTATTATTATTATTATTATTTTAATCTTAACTTAAAGAAGATGGGTTGGTTTCCAAGTTAGAAGTTATTATCTTTCAAAGCAAATTAGATTTCACTGATAGGGTTTTCATTACCTTCGTATCAAAGTGGGATGTCCAATCATACATGTTTACAAATAGAAATAATTGTTGAAATAAACTATTTGCACCCGTCGCTTGGCGCGGGTAAACGGCTAGTATATATATATATATATATATATATATATATATATATATATATATAACTTGAATATTAACCAACTCTATAAAATAAACTAATAATATTGTTTAGTTATAAATTATAATTTATAAATAACTACTAAAAAATTAAATTATAGTTAATTATTTAGTGATAATTTTTTTTATAAGAAATACATATTAAAATATTATATTAGATAATAACGGTTATAAATTGATTGAGTCTCTCTATACCTAGTCTTTAGGATACTTACTCACGTGTATGTTACTCCCTAATTATAAGGAGCTAAGTTAGGTATCGGTTCACACTTTCCATGTATAAATTAATGTACATGTTCAGTCTATCAATACATAATTTTTACGGTACATTCTGTACAAACTATTATGGTATCAGAGCTGTAAGGATACAATTTTTTTCTCCCATTCTATTGTGATCGTCTTCCTGAGTGTAATCACCACCATGGTTGCCACCAACCCACAACTTCTTGCTATAGCTCACATTGCTTCCACGAATCTCAATTTTCAAATCCCCTCAATCAGTATCAAATTAGACAGGGGCAACTACTCCTTGTGGTGCACCATAATTATTTCTGCCCATGAGTGCTTTGATTAAGATTCCTTCATCATCAATCATGTTACCCCACCTGCAACAATCCCACCCCCTGTTGCTGAAAACGCTGTAGATGGTGATGATGGTGCCCTTATTAACGAAGTTTATCCGATCCCAAATCATGAATACGTTACCCGGAGAAAATGGGATTGTTATGTTTTCCTCTGGTTGAAGTCTACATTGTCTGATCGCACTCTTGCTACTGTTGCCCACTCATCTTCTTTACACCAGGCGTAGCAAATTCTTGAACGCACCTTCCGAGCGCGGACTAGGGGCTAACAAAATGGATTTAAAATTTCAATTGCAAACCCTTTCCAAAGGGTCACTCTCTATGCTTGATTATCTAGAACGCAAACGACAACTTGCAAATTCATTGGCTACCTATCTTACCCCTGTCAGTGACGATGACCTTATCCTGTATATTCTTCATGGTCTAGACTCATCTTATAGTTCTTTTGCCTCTTCCTTTCTTATGCACTCTGAAACTACTTCTGTGGATGATCTTGTGGGTTTACTTCTACAAGAAGAAGCTAGAATTGTACAAGACCTTACCAAACAAACTGCCACTCAATTACCCTCGCCAACCATACTCGCTCCTCCTCCAATAGTTCCAGCAACACACCAAGTAGCATGTACTCATCCCATAAATCGCCCATCTGCTTCGTTTTCAGGAAACAATTCCACCTCCAGGCCTTCTGATAATCGTCGGCGGCGTCTCCGTTGTCAACTCTGTAACAATCTTGGCCATGAAGCCATAAATTGTTGGCAAAGGGGCAATCAAACTGATTACCCCTCCAAGCGTCCACCTCCTTATGATCAGCCAATATCAACTGAATCCTGTCAAGTTCATCTTGCTCACTATCACAATCCATCTACTGTTGTGGACCCCTCCTGATATTTTGATATGGGCGCAACGGACCATGTTACCCCTAACTTGAACAAACTCCAACTCAATGACCGCTATACAGGGGATGACAAGTTGCAAGTTGGTAATGGTAAACAACTTCATATTACTCATTTTGGTTCTTCTTCATTATCCTCATTGCATTTACCTAAAGTTTTTGTTGTTCCTCTTCTCACTAAATATCTGTTAAGTGTTTCTCAGCTTACCCAAGATAACAATGTTTTCATGGAATTTTGGCTTAATCATTGTGTTATTAAGATATTACAGGGCACTCTGATCCTATGGGCTACGTTGACCATTGTGTGTATGTTGGATATAGTGTCTAAGTCCATAACTATATTTTGTATGTACTTGACCCGACCCGGCATGGTCCATTTGGGTTGCATGGCATTGCAATAATTGGATAGACCAAAATGAGAGAAAGGACACTTAAGGTTTATTAATATATTATATAAGAGTAATATATTAATAATATTATTTAATTAGTATTGATCAAAGAATTAATCTTGAATTAATTAAGTGATCAAAAAGAGACTAATTAAATATATGGGGTTGATTATGTAAATAATATATTCTTGTATAGTGGGCTAATGATCCATGGTTTGTATGGATTGGGTTAAAACCCATAAGGTGCTCCATGGATAGTCCATGGGGTTACAAACCCATGGATCATGGAATATGGAAAGCCATCACAATTAGGGTTTACATGGTGTAACCCTAATTGTGTCACAACTATATAAAGGCTCCTTGTCTAGCAAAATTGGCACTACTACAAGCAAGTAAGAGGGCTAGCCAATTTTTGAGTATAGTGTAATTCTCTCAAGGTTATTCCAAGAATTGTGGTGTTGTGTGAAGAATTTGAGGCATCACATTTGGGGTGCTAGGCTCACAAAGTCATCAAGGAATCCAAACTTCTAAAAGGTATGTTATTCTACTTGAATTTTGTATTGCAAGTTATTATGAACCTTGGAAAAATCATTTTGCATGTATCTTAGTCAAACATAGATCCAAGGTTTCTATGTTTGCATGTACACCATAGGAGTGTTAGAATGCTCAAAACCCAACAGTGGTATTGAGCCTAGACTTGTTTGTTTGATACTTGATGCAAAATAGCTGAAAAAGTCGAAATTCCTGCTGTCTGCACAGGAGACTCGCCGAGTTCATAGAGGGACTCGACGAGTCCAAGCGTATCTTCAACCAACTCGGCGAGTCAGTTCTTGCACTCGATGAGTTGGCCAGGCAGAGTGCAGATTTTTGATTTTTGCTGCTGGAAATGGGCTAGAAACATTACCCTAAACTGTTTTGGTGTTATAAAACTTATTTTAGATGGTGTAATGCTTATGCAAATCCATTTACAATGACAAATATCAAAATTCCATGTTTTATATGTGTTAATATGATTCTTGAAATTTTGATATGAATGTTCATGTTCTTATGAGTTTTAGAAGATCATAGGAATTATGTGTAACTTGCTTGTAAGTATGATTCTTGATCTTAATGGCTAATCATGGAGTCCATAACTTGTCCTCAAGTTATGGATTACCAAAAGTCACTTCTTTAAAAGTGTCATTAAAGAATAAAAGGTTACATAAAAATGAAGAGTCTTCATTTTAATGAACCATTAAGCTCATAAGTTATGAAATGAAAGGTCTTGAATAGTTTCAATACTTGCCCTCAAGTTTTGGAATTTGTAAAGTCTTACACCCTAATACTTTAATTTCCAAATTGAACCTTAGAATTTTAAAAGTTTAAAATTCAACCCTTATACTATTATTATATTAAAAGTTTAAATATATAGATATGTATAAGAATAAGTCAGTCTTACCGTTAGCAGGCCTCATTCACGAAGCCGAATATAAGGGGGTATAAGGTTGTTGCCTATAAAATGGCAGCTTAATGGGTGTCCACTCTCACCCACCGCTTCCTTGACTGGTGGAGGGTCGTTAGCCGAAAGGGTAGGACAAGGACTTTAAATCTTCATTAAAAGTATAATGAAATTATAAAGTAACTACATTTTAATAATTCCCAATCTTAGTTACTTTAGGAAAATGTGAAATAGGTGCTAACCCATGAAATTACACTTTGTACCTTACCAAGTCGTTAGTGGAGCGCGTGTAGTTTACCGGCACACTAACAAGGACTAGTAAGAGTGACAAAGGGTAACTTAATTTTATCATAGATCGGTGGAGTGCGTGTGGTTAACCAGCACATCGATTAGGAGATAAAAAGTTAAGGGTACCAAGTCAATTTGCATGGTTATTCACACCTTGTTTGTGATCCTCGGCATCCCAGTCACAAACTTGAGAGGGCACAATCGAGATTCAAACATGCCATTGAAAGTTCAATGTATCTCAAAAGATCTAGGAATTTCAAAACTAATAAAACTTAACAATTTATTTCGTTTTCGTAGTGGAAATTGGTAAATCGTCATTTACCTACCTTCAAATATTTTATAGCTTGGATTATGACATCCCTCTTCCAACTATAAATAGTTTGTTTGTTGGATCCTAGCCTTAATACTTCATTTGGGTGACTTATTAAGGACTCTTTATCTAATAAAACTTGTCTTTATTTCTTTTCAGATGTCTTCCAACACTGCTTCTGGCTCAAACCCTACAGGCTCCTTTTCCCTAATGAACTTGTGTAGGAAAATCATTTTTGATGGTTCAAATTTCAATGAATGGATTAGGAACATCAGAATGATTACTCGCTATGAGGGCAAAGAGTATGTCCTCGATAAGGAGCTAAAGCTTATCGATGAGTCAACTGCTACTCCTGAGGAGATTGCTGAGTACACTACCCATGAGAAAGATGCCACTAAGGTGTCTTGCATCATGTTGGCCACAATGACAGCAGAACTCCAGAAATCCTATGAAGATTTCTACCCTTTTGAGATGCACCAGGATCTGATGGATAGGTACCATCAGAGTGATCGTCAGGAGAGGTATGAAATCATTTCCTCCATGATAACAGCTAGGATGAAAGAGGGAGAATCCCTCACCGGTCACTTGCAGAAAATGCAAAGGTTCGTGGACCGATTATTGAAGCTTAATGTGGACTTCCCTGAGGACATGGCGATTGACATCATTCTCCATTCCTTACCTCCAAGTTATGATCAGTTTCGTATGACTTATCATATGAACAAGGAGGAAGTCACACTAAGTAAATTTCAAGGACTTTTAAGGACCGCTGAAAGTGGCCTTAAATCAGCTGTTACTCCTACTCCTACTACCGCCCCTGTCTTGGCAATTGGGCAGGGAAAGGGGAAGAAGAGAAAGACCCCTTCGAAGGGTACCAAGGGAAAGTCTCTTGATGGCTCCTCTTCAAGTGGAACCAAGAAAGGTTCCATTCCTCCTTCTTCAAACCCAATGGAAGCACAATGCTTCTACTGCCAGGAAAAGGGGCACTAGAAACGAAGCTGCCCCAAATACTTGCAGGATGTAAAGGATGGGAAAGTTAAACCCACCCATGCAGGTATTTACACTATATTGTCTAATATAAATCATTGAAAACTAACTCTTGGGTGCTTGATACAGGTTGTGGTATTCACATTTGTACTGATTTGCAGGGCCTAAGAAGAAGTGAGAAAGTGGAGCACGGGAAGATAAACTTAATCATGGGGAATAGGAAAGCATCACCTGTTACCAAGATATGAGTTTATTTTTTATTGCTTAATAATGGGTTAATGTTAGATTTGAATAAATGTTGTTACTCGTCTGAAATGGCGAGAAATATTATTTCCTTTCATGGCTTGTACAAACAAGGGTTTTCCTTTTCATTTGATAATGATAATGGTGCTATTAATGTTTATTACGATGATGTATTTTTTACTTTAAAGCATTACCTTGTGATGGTGTATATGAAGCTGTGAATGTTGTAGATAATCTAGGAAATAATGTGTTGTGTATTGATTCTTCAAATAGCTTAGACAAAGCATGCTTGTGGCATTGTCGTCTTGGACATGTCAACAAGAAGCGCATAGGCCAACTACAAAAGGCTGGAGTTTTGGGATCATTTGACCTAAAGTCGGATGATAGTTGCGAGTCTTGTTTACTTGGGAAAATGACAAACTCACCCTTCACTGGTACTTGTGATAGGGGTGAGGGTTTGTTGGACCTCATACATACTGATGTGTGTGGACCCTTCAAAATCGCCACAAGAGATGCTAATCGGTATTATGTGACTTTTACTGATGCTTATAGTAGATATGGATATATCTATTTAATCAAGCATAAGTCAGAGACCTTTGAGAAATTCAAAGAGTTTAAGCAGGAAGTGGAGAATCAACTGGGCAGGAACATCAAGATGCTCCGATCTGATCGCGGAGGAGAGTATCTTAGTATCGAGTTCCTTTACTATCTTAAGGAATATGGGATTGTCTCACAATTGACACCTCCTAGGATACCACAGCTGAATGGTGTAGCAGAGAGGCGTAATCGAACCTTATTGGACATGGTTCGTTCCATGATGCGTCGAGCTTCGTTACCAATCTCATTCTGGGGGTATGCCTTAGAGACTGCCGCCTACATCCTTAATCTAGTCCCTACAAAGAAGGTTGCCAAAACACCTCATGAGATGTGGACTGGGAAAGTTCCCAACTTGGACCACATCAAGATTTGGGGTTGCGAGGCTTTCGTGAGGCGCGAGTCTCACGACAAGCACGAACCTCGAAGCGAGAAGTGTATTTTCATCGGCTACCCACAGAAATCCTTTGGTTACCTCTTCTACAGACCCATTGAGAATATGGTCTTTGTGGAAAGGAGAGGAGTCTTTCGTGAAAGAGAATTTATAAGCCAAGGAGACAGTGGGAGGCAAATTGACCTTGAAGAGCTTCAAGAGTCAAGCGGTGAAGGAACCTCAAACACTAGCGACCAACGTGAGGAGGAAACTCCTGTTGATCCGGTAGATGAGCCCATACCCTTGAGGCGTTCCACGAGAGTTAGGAATGCACCTGAGCATTACTATGGTTTCCATATTACTGCAGAAGGTGATACACTTATCAGTAATAGTACACTGGTAGGTCTGGATGAACCTAACAGCTACACGGAAGCCATGACAGGCCCTGAGGCTACTAAATGGAAAGAGGCTATGGACAGCGAGATACAGTCCATGTATGATAATCAAGTTTGGAACTTGGTTGACAATGTACCAGGTCGTAAGACAGTTGGGTGCAAATGGATCTTCAAGAAGAAGACCGACATGGATGGTAATGTACACACTTATAAGGCACGACTGGTTGCAAAGGGCTATTCTCAAACTCCGGGAGTTGATTATGATGAGACCTTTTCACTAATAGCAAAAATTAAGTCTATTAGGGTTATGTTGGCCATTGCTGCATTTCATGACTATGAAATATGGCAAATAGATGTCAAAACCGCCTTCCTTAATGGAAAGTTGGCTGAGTATGTTTACATGAGTCAGCCAGAGGGTTTTGTAAGTACAGAGAACCCTAATAAGGTGTGCAAGCTTGAGAAATCCATCTATGGGTTGAAACAAGCACCTCGCAGATGGTATCTTTGTTTCGATGAGAAAGTCAAGGAGTTTGGTTTTTCGAGGAGTGAGGATGAGTCCTGTGTATATATTAGGGCTAGTGGGAGTATAGTTAGCTTCTTGGTGTTGTATGTGGATGACATACTACTCATAGGAAATGACATCCCAACCTTGCAGGAGATTAAGTCCTGGCTTGGGAAGTGCTTCGATATGAAGGACCTTGGGGAAGCTGCCTATATCCTAGGGATAAGGATATTGAGAGACAGGAGTAAGAGACTAATTGGACTTAGTCAGAGTACTTACTTGGATAAGGTACTGAAGAGGTTTAGTATGCAGGATTCCAAGAAAGGGGAATTACCAATCCAGAGTAACGCCAAACTGAGTAAGACTCAGAGTCCGAGTACAGAGGCTGAGATAGCTGAGATGAGTCATGTACCATATGCTTCCGCTGTGGGCTCAATCATGTATGCTATGACTTGTACTCGCCCTGATGTAGCCTTTTCCTTGAGCATGGTCAGTAGATATCAAGGGAGCCCTGGCAAGGCTCACTGGACTGCGGTAAAGAACTTTCTCAAGTATCTGCGAAAGACTAAGGACTGGGTCCTTACCCTTGGTGGCAGTGATGACTTGAGAGTGGTAGGATACAACGATGCTAGCTTTCAGACTGATAGGGATAATTTCCGATCTCCGTCAGGCTGGGTCTTTATCCTAAATGGAGGAGCAATTACTTGGAAAAGTTCCAAACAGGAGACGGTAACTGATTCAACTTGAGAATCAGAGTATATAGCAGCAAGCGAGGCAGGAAAGGAGGCGATATGGCTAAAGAACTTCATTGGAGACCTTGGAGTTGTACCAGCTATAAAAGAGCCAATGGAAATTTTTTGTGACAGCGAAAGTGCAGTTGCCTTAGCTAAGGAACCAAGGGATCACGGGAGATCTAGACACATTGACAGAAAATACCATTTCATTAGACATCGTATAGAAGAAGGACTCCCCGTGGCTAAGAGGGTATCATCAGATGAGAACCCAGCAGATCCCCTCACGAACGGACTGACTAGGGTTAAGCATTTACAGCATGCGAGGCGCATCGGGCTGAAGGATGATATTAGTTTTTATAATTAGATAGTTTTGTGAAACTTGTAAAATGTAATTGACATTTGATGATTAAATAAAAGTTGTTATTTATTTATGAATAAAGTGTTACTATCTTATGTTAATCGTTTACTATTGTTTCAATTTTGCATGTTTTGACTTCCAGGATAATTATATTATTCAAACTCTCCACAGTCAGTCATACTTTGGAAGTAGTTATTGAATTAAGACTGTCATGAATTGGGTTTGTAGACTGTCTAAGGTGTATTAGACATAGCAATGGTTGCTGCAACATTCATGAGTGCTCATAAGTTCTAAGTATTGGACTCAACCCACGCTCACTTGTATCACTTCATGGAATTTATCTCGAGTGACCGTGAGACGGTAATATCATATAAATCCTCAAACCTAGAGATATGAGTTGTTGACTATGAATTGGTTATACATTGATTGTACGAAAACGCATTGGTAACTCGATGTTATAAAACGTGCTTTTGTGCATAATACAATAAGTAGTTAGTACAAGCATATGAGTCGAACTTTATCTGTTCCTTCTAGGATTAGAAGCGATATCAGGGCCCCTCGATGATTTTTTTTTGACCTAGGTACTGGGCCCGGTCAGAACCTAATTGACGTGTTCAATTTAGTTCTATGTCAAACAAATCAGAGATCGAGAAACAACTGCTGGACGATAAGTACGACATTGTTCCATGTATTTGTCCGGCTGATATCTTGAGAGCAGAGGATTATATGATCACTTATCTTAAATGGCGTATCATCATCATCTTAGTTCCAAGAGACTTTGAAAGAGCTACGATTGCTAGTCGGATTCTGAAGTCATATTTGCAACTATAGTTATTAGACTTATCCAAGTGGGAGACTGTTGGATATAGTGTCTAAGTCCATAACTATATTTGGTATGTACTTGACCCGACCCGACATGGTCAATTTGGGTTGCATGGCATTGCAATAATTGGATAGACCAAAATGAGAGAAAGGACACTGAAGGTTTATTAATATATTATAAGTACTAATATATTAATAATATTATTTAATTAGTATTGATCAAAGAATTAATCTTGAATTAATTAAGTGATCAAAAAGAGACTAATTAAATATATGGGGTTGATTATGTAAAAAATCTATTCTTGTATAGTGGGCTAATGATCCATGGTTTGTATGGATTGGGTTAAAACCCATAAGGTGCTCCATGGATAGTCCATGGGGGTTTCAAACCCATGGATCATGGAATATGGAAAGCCATCACAATTAGGGTTTACATGGTGTAACCCTAATTGTGTCACAACTATATAAAGGCTCCTTGTCTAGCAAAATTGGCACTACTACAAGCAAGTAAGAGGGCTAGCCAATTTTTGAGTATAGTGTAATTCTCTCAAGGTTATTCCAAGAATTGTGGTGTTGTGTGAAGCATTTGAGGCATCACATTTGGGGTGCTAGGCTCACAAAGTCATCAAGGAATCCAAGCTTCTAAAAGGTATGTTATTCTACTTGAATTTTGTATTGCAAGTTATTATGAACCTTGGAAAAATCATTTTGCATGTATCTTAGTCAAACATAGATCCAAGGTTTCTAGGGTTGCATGTACACCATAGGAGTGTTAGAATTCTCAAAACCCAACAGTCTATCGCCTGGAATCTCCATCACTATAACCTGCATCTCCTATGGATTTATCGTGTGTGCGTACATCTATGCCCAACTGGCACAGTCAATTGGCTCAGCCACATGAATCCATTTGTAACACCTGATTCCTGGTATGTATTTTATTCAAGAATTGTATGTATTTTCTCTGGGACTCGACGAGTTGGAGGCCCAACTCGTCGAGTAGAGTCGAGATCCGCGGACAATTTAAGTGACCTACTCGACAAGTCGGAAGACTGAATCGACGAGTAGATTCTGCTTGGGTAAAACCCTAAATTTAGGGTTTACACCCTATTTAAACGCCTTATCTTAGCCTCCATCGTCCCTTATACTCCCAGAGGACATCATATCGAAACCCTAGCCACTTTTGTGTGTTTTAAGGCCATTTTGGTGCTTTTTGGTCGGTTGTGAAGCTTGAGAAGAGGGAAGGAACTTGTGAGACCAAGGGGAAACAAGACGATCCAGAGTTTGAAGCTCATTTTCAGCTTATTGGAGGTATGAAACTGAACCTTTGTCTATAGATCTTGATTTTTGGGCCTTTTCCTTCATCTTTCTAAGCCCTAGAGAGGTG